ACTACCGCCTCCTCTCCTCCTTGGAAGACTAAATACGAGCCCTTCTTCAGAAGGATGCCATTGTCTGTCTGCACCATCCTGATGTTTCAGTTGGGTAATTTTACGCCTCTCATGGGCCACCTTAAAACTACCGCCTCCTCTCCTCCTTGGAAGACTAAATACGAGCCCTTCTTCAGAAGGATGCCATTGTCTGTCTGCACCATCCTGATGTTTCAGTTCAGTTTTATTCCTGATATTTTACAATTCCAAAGAAGGATGGGGGACTTCGTCCCATCCTTGACCTCTGCAATTTGAACTTGTATATCACTCCCCGTCGGTTTTATATGGTCTCTTTGGATGCCAACATCCAGATGCTGAGGCAAGATGACTGGTTCACAGTTATAGATCTGAAGGACGCCTATTTCCATATGAGCATTCAATCAGATAACTGCCGGTTTCTTAGATTTTCAGTTGGGGGAGTGACATATAAATTCAAAGCCCTCCCCTTCGAGTTGTCGACTGCCCCACAGGTATTCACTTGTGTCTCCAGGGTATTATGGTCTTTCCTTACTTGGATGACTGGCTGCTGGTAGCACCGTCTGAGACCCAGGTCGAGCGAGATACAGTACTAACTTTATCTCTGCTATCGACCCTAGGTCTGAAGGTCAATTTGGAGAAGTTGACATAGTGTCCCACTCAGCAAGTTGCTTATATCAGAGCTGTTCTGGATGCTTTGTTGGGTTGAGCCTCACTACCTCTGGACAGAATTTCAAAGGTCTGGTCCATGCTACTCTCTTTGCAATGGGGAGCTTGGGTACCAGCCTTTCAAGTTCACCAGCTGCTTGGCCTCATGGCCTCTACCACTATCGTGGTACAGCATGCCCATTTGAAAATGACATCGCTCCAAGCATGGTACCTCTCCCTGTTCACTTTAGCACTTGATCCTCCAATCAAGCTTCTGCAGGTCATGATCAAACTGGCCACCCAGTTATCCTGGTTGGACCTACTACCCAATCTGACAGTAGAAAATTCCTTTGGACAGTCCCGCTATGTCATGGATAAGAATCTGTGGATTAAATCATGTAATGAAGATGGGATATGTAGTTGTGAACAATGTAAAATGGATTCCATATTGATTCTATGTAAGAATGATTTTGTATGGTGGGAATGTATTCCAGAGGGCTGTGGGAATGTTTTTCCTTTAGACCAGTAGAAGCCAATACAAGATAAGAAGACCAGACACCTGTTATGGTTGAGAAGACAATAGACGGAGAAAAACAACACCTGTTTCTCGTCAGAAGAGAAGGAGGGGACTACTTATATCACATCACGCCGTGATTGGATGACAGCGTAGGAGACCAAGAAGACAAGAGGAGCCAAGAAGATAGAAAAAGGAACTTTTGCCATGTGCAGTGTTCTATCTTGTTCCTATTTTTCCTTTTGGATGAAACCATAGATTTTTTTAGGTCTTTATGCCTGCTGCCCCATGCAGGGAAAGGACTGGGAAAGATGTAGGGAGTTAAGGAAGAGGAGAAAGGGGCTTTAAGCCTTTTGCCTACCCTAAGGAAGCTTTTAGAGATTTTTAGAGCTATTGTAACTGTAACAAGTCTTGAAAATGCTTAATTGCTATGCTTTTGCATCAAACTGACCTTAATCTGTAAATCTATATTTTTTCAAGAAAAAGATCAATTATAAAATCTTTTGGTCTCTTGAACAGTGAAGCCTGTCTTAGCTATTCCCTTGTAACTGTAACAAGCACTGAAAATGCTTAATTGCTATGCTTTTTCATCAAACTGACCTTATTCTGTAAATCTATATTTTCTCAAGAAAAAGATCAATTATAAAATCTTTTGGTAGCTATTCCCAGAGGGGGAAGCAAGGCCATATTAAGCTACTGAGTCCTATCTAATTGAGTCAGGCAGATCTTAGGACTACAAAGCTCACGTGTAACTTCCTGCTGAACTTTGTTAAGAGTCAGCAAGTATCCTTTTAGGGCAGACTTGTAAGAAGGAGTTTGTTGTACGCCCTGGCTGAGGTCACCAGGACTCAACCCAGCTGCATAGGGGTACTCAGACTTCTAGTTACTCTCTGTCCGACCGACCAAGTTCACCCTCACAGAAAGCTGGGTCATGACAGCTAACTACGGAACCATCCCGACAGCTTGGGGTGCACACCTGGAGTCCCTCACGATACACATTTTCTGGTCCTCGGCAGAACGCCTCCACATCAGTCATCTCAAGTTCCTGCCAATTACCAAGGCTTTTCGGGCATTCGAGTGTTTCCTAACTGGTCAAGGGGTCTAGGTTGCAACGAACAACATGACAGCAGTATTCTATATCAACAAGTGGGGGGGGGGACCCACTATCTCCCGCTGCTCTATCTAACCGTTGATCTCTAGGAGTGGTGTTTCATCCACCACATCTACCCAGTGGCTGTTCATGTGGCAGCCCAGGGGAATGCCCTTGCGGACCACCTCAGCTGGCTCCAGTCCTGTTCTCACCGATGGGCCCTAGACACCATCTTTAATCAGCTATGTCAACAGCAGGGCACCCCACAAGTGGATGTATTTGTGTAATGGGACAACAGGAAGTGCAGCCGCTACTGCTCCCGGGCAGGAGTGGGCCAACTCTCCCTAGGGGATGCCTTCATGATCAGCTGGTCCTCAGACCTCTTCTAAATGTTCCCTCTGATCCCTTCTCTACGGAGAACCATTATCAAGATCCGGCAGGACAACATGGCATTAGAATACATCCGCCTGGCATCAATTTCCCACCTGTTGACCCAGGACCACAGCAAGATCTTCCATCCAGACTTGGACTCTCTGCACCTGACAGTGTGGAGGCTTCCGTCTCTATAGCTGAACTTCAAGGAGGTGGAGCATTTATGTGCGTAAATGCTCCACCTCCTTGATATATGCCTATAAGTGGAAAGCTTTCTGCAAATTTGGATATCCCGCCACTTACCTGTAAGCCCGATATCCTCGACATGGTCCTCCAGTTCCTGTTTCACCCTGGTCTCTCCCACTCAACTCTAAAAGTGCATATGACCGCTACTGTGGCCCATCAGCCACTCTCTTCTCATGCAGCCCCTCTTTTTCAACACCCCACCTTGAAACAGTTTTTGTGGGAGCTGAAGAATATACGCACAGCCTATAGGCCTCTTACTTCGCAGTGGTCACTCCAGCTTGCCATGAATCAGTTCTTGAAGCCTCCATTTGAGCCCTTGGCCACAATGTTGGACTGTCTTTTGACCCTGAAGACTGCCTTTCTCCTCGCCATCATTTCGGCATGGCAGAGGAGAAATGGCAGTCCTAAGAATGGACCCTCACTTCCTCCAATTCCATCCTGACAGTGACTCTCTACCAAGACCTCTCCTTCCTTCCCAAGATATTGTCTTATTTTCATTTAAACCAGCCCATTGTGGTGCCCCCCCTTTTTTCCCAGCACCTACCTCACCTCTAGAGTGAGCATTTCATTCCTTGGATGTTACATAGTCTCTCTCCTCTTATGTTGCTCGCACCTCACCTTTCTGCACCTGAAAGAGGCTCTTTGTAGCCTTCCAAGGCACTTCTAAGAGTGCACTGGTAAGCTCCCAGACCATCTCCAGATGGATCGTTTCCACCACATATGAGCTGGCTAAGGTACCACTACCAGACAGTTAAAGCCCACTCGATGAGAGCCATGTCCTCTTCGATGGCATTTCTCAGAGGAGTGGACCTCACTGACATCGGTAAAGCTCCCATCTAGGCCATCGTCTTTTGCATCCCACTACCGGCTTGATGGTCATGCCAAGGCTGAGGCTGCAGTGGGTCATGCTGTCCTGGCTTCTGTGCTCTCACGACATCCCTCCTCTGGATAAGTCAGTTTGCTAGTCACCCATTAGTGTGCATTCACAGAGACCACGAAGAAGAAAAAGTTCCTGTAATTCTGGTTCTGTGAGTGGTCATCTGTGAAGTCACACGCCGCGCCCTTCCTCCCAGCTGTCCGTCACATGAGCCTTTTGCATGCTGTGCAGCGGCAGACAGTTCTAGGGAACTGAGGCACTCGGTGCCAGGGGTGGGTTAAGGGCACCATGTGGGAGGTCCCGGCACCATGTGCTCAAGATCTGGAAAGTTCCAAGGCTGCTCTGTGCAGGCACAGATTAACCCATTAGTGTAAATTCACAGATGACCACTCAAAGAACCAGAGGTACAGGTAAGTAACCTCTTTTTTTTTTAATCACCTATGCTCTTAATGCACTGTTGAGTTATAGGTTCACTAACAAAAAATTAGATCTGGATTATAGGCTCTCTGGCACCAGCAACTTTTAAATGAACTGGGTAGTTCAGGATCATATATAAGGCACATTAAACAGGGACCTAATCCATTTTGTAACAGCGTTGCCATTTTTATCATCATGTTCATAGCCCTAAATGTTGCTATGGCTATTAAAATCTCCAACTAGAAAGTGAGTGTTGTGGTTTTCCACATTAGATGGCTTCTTAAAGCAGAATGGAATATTTGGTGGTTTACAAATTGTCATTACTACACATGCAGCCAGTTTGGCCATCAAAATTCCTATGTTGTCTTCTTCAGTATAGTCCGCTGAGAGGACTATACCACTTGGTCTTACAAAAATGACACTTCCATATTGTTTGTGGGACCTCTCAGCAACTGGACACAGCCCAGGAACCTTTGGTTAATGATGATAATGTTTCTTGCACACAAAGGATGTCCCATTTCCATTCACAGTAAAGTGAAGCCAAGTGTTCCTCTTTAGATGAAGAGACACCCTTGATATTAATAGAAATTTTTACCATTTGTCATCCTAGAAAGGACTTTTGAGACGTTCTGCTCATCAGCAAGTTTACAGTGTAACGCTTCTGGACAGGAGAGATTAGCTGGCTGCATGCTGTTGCCCAGGCGACCCCCGAGTGTACTTGCCATGCTTTCCACTCTTGGGGGAGGCTCTTTTCTATGCCCCCCCATCTCTACTGGAGTTCTTGGTGGTCAAAGACTTATTTTCTCTTTTTTTCTTCACAGGTCTCTCACAGGGAGGATGAATGCCTACAATTTAAAGCTTACAAGTATATTGACGTTGATCTCCTACAGCCGGCATCGGTCAAAGTGTACAGCAATTATAATCTCGGTAATGACTCTTGTGAACTCAGCATTGTAGAGGCTACTCAAAGACCAAGACACTAGTTAGGGCATTTAAGAAATTTACTAAGCTTCCCCTTTTGCCTCCTTTTATGAGGGCAGAGCTCATGAGGGAAAACCCTGAACATATTTAAAAAGCAATGACAAAGGATGAGGGACCAACTCTGCTCCAGTTTCCAGACAGCCTTCATGTTCTAGGCTGTTTGCCCTCACCCAATCAATCGATCAATCGATTGATTGATTGATTGATTGATTGATTAATTGATTGATTAGTCTGCTATTCGATTTATACCCTGACCCTCCCTCTAGACAGAGTCTGCTCAGGGCGGCTTACAAAGAAGAATAAAACATTTTAAAATACAATCAAGTAAAAATCATCAATATATATAAATCAATGACATAATTATATCAACAAATTAGATCAAGATGGAAAAAAAACTAAAGAAAAAAAGAGAATCAAGTGTTGACTGGAGGACCTGATTCCTAGGTTCCCTGATTGTTTAGCATAGGGTTTGTGTGCACTGGAGACAGAAATGGTATTCATATGTGGGTTGTTGTCCTGGTTTATTTTTGCTGCTGCATCGAAAGTGAATTTTTTTTGTTTACAAATAAATACATTTTGCTGCTGCTTGTTGAGCTGGATATATGAGACCAAGGCATTTTGTTGTTTCCAATGGCAGCTCCCCAATGTTGATGTTGCTTGCTTAGATTAGTGCTCTCCTCATACCCTTTGCATGACTATAGGGCCAAGGAGGGTCAGCCAATGACCAAATGGCCCAGTCTGGCCTGCAAAGCCATTTCACCCAGCCCACAGTGTCGACCAAAGGCAGACACTTAAACAGTAAGGCAAAAATAAAAGAAGAATGAAAAAATAAAGAAGACAAAAATGTTGTGGTATTTTAAAGACTGATTGCTATATTTTAATATGAGCTTTTATGGAGAAGTTCACATCTTCAGGGGTTTGAAGACATCTACTTGTCCACAAAAGCTCACATTAACATAAAGTAGTTAGTCTTTAAGGTGTCATAACATTTTTGTCTTCTGTATTTTTAAATGGGGGGGGGTGACCTACACGCAAGCACAGACTAACATCTCTTCTAAAACTTAAGCAATACTTTTCTCAAGAATGCTGGTTTAGAATTTACAGATCTTTAACTGTTTTAAAAATGTTTTTAAACTTGTTTCTTTTAAATCTTAATATGTATTTAATTGTTTTTTAATGGAATATTTATAACATATTTTTAAATTTTTTTTAATTTGATATGATTGGCCTTTGGTCCTCTATGGGGAAAAAGCTGGCATATAAGTAAAATAAAATAAAATAGTGAAAACATTTGCCTGCAACAATACTTTTCAGATGAAACCATGATATTGTATATTTCCCATGCAACATCTGGATTTTATATACAAAGAGTAGGAATCATGTAGATAAAAGGCTATTTTCGAAGCTACCAGCCTCTACTAGACCCCACAAAAGAAATATTCTGGAAAATATATGCAAGATTCCTCAGAAGTGGCAATTCACCATTTCAACAACTTGCATGTTCCCTGTGTTTTAAATGTCATTATTTTTAAATTTAAGAATCCACCAACCTCTGGTCTTTCCCAAGTGTTGGGAAGTTTCTGGCAGCCCTCAGTAAGTCCTGGAGCTGGAGACAGCACTAAGATGATGATGATTGTTCACTGGACTCTGCCCACCTCTGTTATCTGTAATGCTTGGCCATGCTTGAGCTGCATAACTGTAAAACCTCTAATGCCAGAGGACCTTGTGCTTTTTAGGGATCTTTGTTTGTAGATCCATTTGTGCTTCAAAATAACATTTTTCAGCCCTCAGACCATTCCTTGGTGAATGAATGAACCCCGTGGAAAAGAGAAAGTGGCCATCCCTAAGGCAAATGGCCATGGGATACCACTCTCCCCTTGAAACTCTGCTTAAAGACCCTTGTTCGGCCAGCTGGCTTCCTTTTGGTTACACAAAGTCAGCTGGATGTCTTTCTAATGCTGTCACTGGGAGAAATGGTCCATCTGCATAACTTTGCATCCTTTCAAGGATTTTCCTTTCGAGATTTTCTACCAAAGTAAAAGCATGTTGAAAGGTGTGTAGTACGCATCCTTCAGTCTCGAGAGACTATGGTAACGTGCTCTGTATGGAGGTCTTGGAACAACGCCTAGTGTGGCTGAGAAGGCCAATTCAAGACTGATCATTCCTTCCACACTGAAGACAAATACAATCTGTCCCCTGTCCAGCTCCCTGGTTTTGCTGGTTTCGGGACTGCCTCTTTGCCTCAGCCTGCTGGACAAGGGTCTCTTCAAATTGTGAGAGGCCTTGATGCTGAACACTCAAGGTTTCCCATCTGTTGAGGTCCGTTCCTAAGGCCTTCAGATCCTGCTTGCAAATATCCTTGTATCGCAGCTGTGGGCTCCCTCTGGGGTGATTTCCCTGCACTAATTCTCCATACAGGAGATCTTTTGGAAGCCGACCGTCAGCCATTCTCACAACATTGCCAAGCCAACGTAGACATTGCTGTTTCAGTAATGTATACATGCTGAAAATTCCAGCTCGTTCTAGGACTACTCTGTTTGGAACTTTGACCTGCCAGCTGATAGCAAAAATGAGTCAGAGACAACGCATATGGAAGGTGTTCAGCTTCCTCTCCTGTCATGCACAGAGGGTCCAGGACTCGCTGCAGTACAGGAGTGTGCTCAGGACACGGGTTCTATTGACCTGGATTTTAGTGTATGCCGTCAGCTTTAGCAAAAATGAGTCAGAGACAACGCATATGGAAGGTGTTCAGCTTCCTCTCCTGTCATGCACAGAGGGTCCAGGACTCGCTGCAGTACAGGAGTGTGCTCAGGACACGGGTTCTATTGACCTGGATTTTAGTGTATGCCGTCAGCTTCCTATTAAGCCATACTCTCTTTGTGAGTCTAGAGAACATGGTAGCTGCTTTGCCAATATGTTTACCCAGCTCGACATCTAGGGAGAGAGTATCAGAGATTGTTGAGCCAAG